GAAAAAAAAGCAATTTTCAAGATATCATGATAAACAATTTTGTATCGTGAAAAACAATTGAATGCATGACAGGTAGTTAATTCTAATACTTATTATAGTATCAGACAGAAATTGGTTGAAGATTTAAAAGTGAATAATGACGAAGAGTTCGATATTTTTAAACGCTTCATTTTTAATCAGGATTATTTTAAATGGTTTATAAACAAAAACATTGATTATTTTATAAATTTAAATTTGTTACAATATTTTGAATGGTTTAATATTGATACAAGTTTTCTGCAGTTAGGCAATACGGAATGGTTAAAGGATTCTGGATATATGAGAGGCTTAGAAATTGTGAAAAATTTGAGAGTAGTTAATGATACTGCAGAAGGAGCTGTTAAATTGTCAGAAGAATACGTTAATATTTTATTTAGAAGTGAAGATGAAAAACAATATGTGATTCAGATTGTAAGCTAGTATAAGAAGAAATATCAAAATCCAAATAAAGAATGTTTATTAAGATAAATCAACTATACTTAAATGGTTTAAACTTCATTAGATTTAAATATTTCTTAATTTCTAACCTTAACACCATCAGAATTGTATATTTTTTACAGTAATAGATTAATTTTTTTAAAAATAATCAAAATTTTTCCAAAAAGTTGAAAAATTTAGGAATTTACCAAGTGGTTAACTTTAACCGTGAATAACTTTTGAAGGAGTATGTTCATCAAAAAATTGTAAGAGATCTCTTTTGTAGAGCGTTCAATGTTGTACAGGAATGTGTAATTGTCATGGCTACGAGAGAACAAGATGAGAACACAGAGAACACAGAAAAAAAAATATTTGCAAAAAGTGGCAAATCCCCATGCAATTTAAATGGGAAATGAATCGTCTTTGGGGCAAAATTTATTGTGAATAATAAGGGTTTATAATGGTCTCTTATTTTGTTAGACAATAAACTAAAAATTTAGAGGGCGTCGCACAGTGGGGCAGGATTCACTAAATATGTCGAAAAAGTTTGGGTGATAGTGCACATATATTTTACGAATAATTAACATATTATAAAGTGACTTTTATCGAAAAATGGTTATTGCTTAGCGGTATTACTATCATACAACAAAAAAATTACTTTATTTTTCAAAAGTTTAGATATTTTTATTACTTTAATTTCAGCAGGTTATAAAGTGGTTTTATCAGAAAAAGGCTATTGCTTAGCGGTATGACTATTATACAGGGTGGCTCGACAAAAAAGTTACTTTATTTTTCGAAAGTTTAGATATTTTTATTACTTTAATTTCAACAGGTTATAAAGTAACTTTTATCAAAAAATGGCTATTGCTTAGCAGTATAGCTATTATACAGGACGGGTAAACAAAAAAAAAATCACTTCATTTTTCGAAAGTTACAACGGTTATTTTAACTATATATTAGACTAGAAATTCCAATTTAGGTAGAATTTGCTGAAGTTTAAAATGTAGTCTTCATTTTTAGAAAATGTTAAATATATCAAAAACCTTACATTTTAGTCTTATGCTTCTCTAATGAAACTCACCTTCATTTCTTTCCAGAATCCGAAAATCAATTAATATACAGGGTGTCCCAGAAATAAATGCAAGTATTATGACTGGTAGTATAGTTCAACCCCAGAAACATGCCTATGAGGTTTTTTTTGCGAAAAAAAATGAAAATTCGGAATGTTTGGAATTTTTTTTAGTTTTTAGTCAAAAAACATAATTTCTTGATAATATGGCAACATAGGTAGTAGATTAAATTTATAAGAAAAAAATCCAGAAAAGATTCAGTGTTTCTCAAAATTTTAGCAAAAAATTTTTTTTTTTAATTTTTCAAAGTAAAATAACTCCGTTAGTTTAGACTTATTTGAAAAATGATAAAGAGAAAATATGTTTCTTTTATCGAGATCTACCACTCCTTAAAATACTTGCACTTATTTCTGGGACACCCTGTATAGGGTGTTACAGAAAATACAACTATGTGTAACTTTTTTTGGGGACACCTTATAGAACTCTATATATTTAAAAAAAAATGGCTCTAAGTAAACTTACACTTACTTACAAAATTGCATTTCAATGTAAGCATTCATTCAGACATTCTTCTTGGAGCTTCCGTATAGTATGAGTAGTATGAGAGGTGCCACTCTGTATACCAAACATTTAAAAAACTTTAATAACGAAAATGTTTTTGGAGTATTTGTGGTCGTAGGTAAAGTTTAGTGCGTAAATCTTGTTGCAGAAATATAGTAATGCGCTCATACAATACTACACCCATCACCACACGCCTTGTGTACAACTTTTCTATTCGCCCGTAATATATTTTTACAGTACTCATTACGCAATATAGTATTTCATCCATTTTCTATTTTTATACCATATATCCAGAAGAAAATAGCAGAGAAATGTCAATACTTGCCGAAGAAAACTTAGCGAAAATAAATTTAGCGATAATTTATGATCAATTTTTCGACTATTCATAGGTTCATTACACTTAAAATAATTTACAATGGGACAAGAACGGGCAAAACTTTTCGTTATAATATTAAATTGTTTGAATGGAGGAACAATAATATATGTCAAAATCAGGCGGATGTACGAAGATTCATAACTAAACTACTTTGTGATTTTCAAATTGAATTAAGTGGATGCAAATTTTTGGCTTACATTATTTCAACTTTCTTGTGTCTTCGAATAATCGCGTAATATATATCAAAACCAGAGGAATATTAATTTACTTACCCGATACGAGCGAATAACAATGTCGCTATTAAAATAAATATAAACTTATTATTAGAAAATCAAATATAAAATAGGAGTAAATTGAAAGGCCGGCTCAAGAAAATCGAAACAATTTTAGTTGATACGCAAAAACAAAGGCTATCTCTAAGCAACCACTGTCGATTCAGCGCCTATATTACTATATAATATTCAGCGGCATTTAGCCTACAACAATACATTAATTTCACCTGAATTAGGAAGATTTAGTTTTTAATACTTATTGTATATAAATTGCCAATTCTGCCCCAGTGTGCGTCGTGAGGGAAATGATCAACTTTGTAAATAACGGACACCCTAATAATCATTGACAAGTAAATATTGAAATACAAAAAATGTATAAGGCAAGAAATCATGAAATGGCTTTCCAAACTTATTCCAAAAAACGTATTAATAATTTTCTTGAGAGATTTGCCAAAAATCTACTCAATCTAATACATGAGTTCTAATGGAAAATGTTATTATAAATTTTCGAAATATGTGCAACACATCATTATTTTGATGAAAGCAGGTCAATGATAAAATATCTGCTTGGAACTCTGATAATACCATGTTGTAGAACAAAAAAAGTTGTTATCTGGTTATATCTATACAAATAGATATAAATAAATAAAAATAAAATTGTAAATATTCTGTTTTCCAAAAAGTATTCGAAGTTTTTAGACTATGAAAACCGCATCAACGACTTCTCACCTCTTCTAGTTTCCGGCATAGTATAACGAAACTAGTAGCTTTACTCCTTGTCAAATCCTTTGTTCTTTTTCTGTCACTTTATATGACCTTGTTCTCGAGTCCCGTCACCACTGACATAGTGATGGTCTATAATTAGGCAAAGTATAGTCGTGTTTCGCCATAGTTTTACAAAGATGTAAGTATTAAGGAAAATATGAGTTCACAATAAACAGAGATGTAAGTATTTAGGAAAATATGAGTTCAGAATAAAATCAAATAAAAAATTGATCATCGAGTAAAAATTTGCTTGAAAACAGAATATTTTTACATTTCGTGTAAGTAACAATTCTTCTGTATCAGAAAATCTTCTGATGGGAAGAAATGCGGAAAAAATATATAATGACATATTTTTATATTATTATCTATTTCAAAGATTTTATACAAATTTGTTTTAAATTTAAAACAAGTTTAATTGTAATATTAATGTGTTTGTTTTGTAGTAATATATTGGTTAGGTGATTTTCATTGGATAACTAATACATTGAACAAGACGTTGTACTAAATAATAAAATAACATATTTAAACTTCAATAATTGCAAATAAACATTACAGAAATTTCAAAAGAGAAAAGAAGCAAACAATGAGAAATAGCATCACTACTTTCTCATGTAATAAAAGAATATTTTTTTAGTTATCGTTACGGAGTCCCGAAGGTACAGAAAGAACCGGGAATTAATAATTTTGAGTCCCGGTTCGTTGATATCTCAAAAGAACCGGAAATTTCCGGTTCTGAACCAGCAGAAAAATCCTCATATTTCTGGTGCCAAAATATACTACCCCTAAAAATATTTGTACTTATTTAAGACACCCTATATAGGGCGATTCACGGTTATGGTACGTTATAGCGTTTCCGGAACCGGTAATTTCGGTACCATGCCTCAAAGGAACCGGGATTTCCAGTTTTTTCTCGGTACTTTCGGTACTAGCAAATTTTTGTTTTGATAGTACCGTTCGTTAAACAGCAAGCAAAGGATGATTATCAAAAGTCAAATCGATAATAAACTGAGGTTAAAATAAAAATAATATCAAATTATTTAGTAGTAATCAGTCATGAGAAAATTAACCTGAACACAAACATGATCACAAATGACTCTCAAAAAAAACTCAAAGCACAATTTTTGGTTTAGTTTTTTTTTAATAGCAGCACACAGTGAGGCACTCATTTTTTATCAATCCGCGTCTCTGCTGGGACGCAACGCTCGAACCTCGCAGGTCGACGGACGGAACTCAACTGAAACGCTCTGCAATCTGCCGATATTCGACAGATTGAAAAAACTGTTAAAAAATATTTCGGAGAGTGCAACTACTCTTTTCCTTTTACTATGGTTTCCAGGATTCAGTTGAGTAAGCTCGAATTTGGGACACCCTGTAGGTACGTTCCAACAAAGGTATTTATCAATTTTGTTCCCTTACTAAATCGCATTCGGGTCTGTGTAAGTTCCTGTTTACTATTTCATTATTCATATATTTAGATCATATATCAAAATGTAAACTTACCGTAAAGCCTCAACGTTCCTTCTGCTCTGCCTAATGAATTTGTCGATACGCAGTTGTAGGTTCCGATGTCATTGGGTGAAAATGATCTGATTATCAACCACATAAACACTTTATATCCGCTCCGGTCTTCTCGTATGGCATATTTGCTCCTGAAATTAATAGGAATCGACTTAATTCTGACAACTGTTATAGAACGATAGTTGGAAATTTATACACGAAATAGGGTCTTTATTATGTATTTATGGTATCTGTCCCATGGGAAATAATAGGAAAGGGAATATTTTAGTTCAGTTAGGTATAAAATCCGAATTAATATCGCGAATCCGCGTTATACATTATAACGCTTACAAGAAAATTAAATATGACACTAGGGGATATTTTTATTTAAAATTTAAATAAAACTTTAATAACTTGACCGATATTTTCCGATTATTTTCAGGAAAAACTAAATAACTACAATTGCCCTAAATATCGTCACCTCTCTACCTATATATCGTCATCAAATTTGTCCCAATTTTCGTTATATCTTTGTATGTGTTATTTCAAACAAAAAACATTGTTTTTTACAAAAGTTTATTTAGGAATTGCGACGGTACGATCTGTGATTGTCACAGCTACCGCTAGATGGCGAGAGCGTCCAGCACTCTCCATAGTAGTACGTTTTGTACTCAAATGCTATTCTCTGCGTTTCGTTTGTCAGATTGAGGGTTACAGCAAAGTCGGCCTGACGATGGAGATAAATCTCCGAAACTGGTCGTCGAATGGCTGTTCCCTTTAGAGATGATCCATGGTACAAAGAATACAAGGTATGATATTGCGCAGGTTGGTCGCTACGTCACAGGTGATAACTGGCGCTATTGGTCAGCACTCTCCGCGCGCCAGTTCAAATCGTCAAGATATTGTTATAAACCTGTTTTTTTGTTTATATACCGTCATTGAATTATTGCTAAGCAAGTTACTGTGGAGCAGTGCGTAAGGAGTCGGGCTAGGAAGCGAGAGACCGGGGTTCGAATCTCGGCCGGGACATAACTTTTTTATTTATTTTTAAATACTGTTGTATTCTATAGTTTATTTTTTGTAGTATAAAAAAAAACTATTTATTCTGTTATTTTTAATCTCCGGTATTAATATAAATTGATTGTTGGTACAACACCTCATTTAATATAAAATAATATTCTACTTTTTAATGTATCGGGCACTAATTGTACCTAAAAGTAATATATTTTTGAATAATTGCCTACCATTAAAGGAAATTTGAGCTATATAATCCTTGATGGTCATATTCTGGGTATGCAAATACTTCCTCTAAATTTTGGGTTTCGTTCAACCGATTTATTCTCAAAACCTGAAACATCTACATATAAAAAGAAAAGCACAGGTCACTAATTATAATAGACTTCACCCTTGGAATTACTTCTATCACAATTACAATACATTCATCTGCATTGGCATTTTCTACTTTTCGATGGGAAACTTCAACTTCCCAACATTTTTTAAATGATGTAACAATTCCTCTTGTGGTTACTTTTCCATAGATATCCTCATCTCTGTCCTCATGTGAATTCAGAGGCAATGAACATGAAAATTATTTACCATAAACATCGCAAACTAAAAACCTAATAAACAATTTTATACCGAATATAGAAATAAATTTAGTATTCTTACCTATTATTATCGTCCAAATCCATGTTAATAGATAATTATTTTTAAATATATTTTTGGAACTGCTGGTTTTAGTAATTATTAAATTAAACGAACTAAAAAGTCTTAAAAATAAACAATTCTTAACCATAACCCCAAAAAATGCAGATCTCCTGTCAACTTTCTTTATTTTTTATTTATTCATAATTTTCCTAGTGACGTCACAGGTGGTATGCGCGAACTGAACGAAATTGGAGCCGCTATCGATCATACCTTGTATTCTTTGTACCATGGAGATGATCGATATCGTGATTTTTTAATCACATTGTTATTTGTTACTGCGATTTTTTAATATCAGTGATTTTTAAACGCGATGTGATCACAGTTTCAATAACAATAAGTCATGTCGCTCCATCCCCGTTGCCTCATTCGCAGCTAAGGCGTAATACTCACGTGTTTATTTATACTTTTTTTAGATTTGAGTTTGAGACAAACAAGTTTGGGTTTGATTCATTTAACGATTTATCCAGTATTCAGTCAAGTTGCATTTATTATCGGCTTATTATCGGCTAACCCTCAATCTACATGCCGGGTTACAAGGTCGCGGGTTTGTTTTGTTTATTTAAGAATAATTGTTTTTCTAACCTCAAAAAATAAATCATGTTATTGCAGTGATCTCAAATCTCAATGATTTAGCCAAGTATTCGTACGATCCGTACTTAAAACGTTAAAACATTAATTGTAGAATATATTAATATCAAATTTACATCAATAACTTCAAGATTGACGACGTACCTAAAATGTACCATGTACCATCACCGTTTATACCGTATGATCGAATAAAAACGGCGTCAGCGATGGCTATGAAATGACAATCGATGACATTTCCCATATAAAATGACAGCCATCTTCATTTCATAGCCATCGCTGATGCCGTTTTTATTTGATCATACGGTAGTTTTAAAAATAGCGATATTAAACGAAAGCGAGGCGGCCGGCAATGGTAATCGGTATCGGTATTTCCATTTTGTTTATGTTATATTAAATACTTAACGGATAAACAAGTCTGTCGACTTTTTGCTCGTTTGCATAGTGTGAAAATCACATATCAATTCACGCTTTCTTCGCAAAAAAAGTAACGATCATGATATGTGATTTTTAAATATCAGTGAAAAAATCACAGTTCGTAAAATATCGCTCATCTCTAGTTCCCTTCAGTCTGATGAACTTAATACAGAGAATAAGGGTTTCTTTGGCCCCTTTTTCTGCTTCTTGTATTTTGTTTTAATGAAATAATTTTATAAATTAAAAAGTAAAGATTTCAGTTAACGTCTCCTTTTTGCTGCCAGGGCTAATCTGGACGGGACCTACTTTGTTTACGCGGAATCCGAACCGCGGTCCTCGACCATATCATGGTCAGTGGCCTACCGACTTAGGAAGGGTCTAAATTAACTCTTACTCACGAGATATCCGATCTCATACAGCCTCGAACCGGCGTGAATGAGCAGTGCGTATCAATAGATTTTACACTTTTCCCTTGGACAGCAGCACGATACAGAGTTTCGAACCGGTCACCCGTCCATCCACCAGTATCGCCTTACGTCGCTTAACTTAGGTGTTCTAATGGGAACCGGTGTTTCAACGTAGCTAGGCCGTTGCCCCCAATTTTTTTTATAAATAAGCATACAAAATAAAATTTTAATTAAGAATTTCTCCGATATCAGCTCAAAAATAATAGTGTAGTAATAATTAGTGAATACAAAGTATCGAGGGGTAAACCGCAGAGGAATTATGGTGTACACTATGAAGGAATTCTACAGGAATTCCAAGGAATTACGAGGAATTCCAAGGAATTCCATAGGAATTACTAGGAATTCCAATTATTTCCGTAAGAATTCCAATGAATTCCAAGGAATTCCTTAGAAATTTAGAGGAATTCCACAGGAATTAAGAGGAATTACAAGCAACTTTATAAAAAATTAACGAACATTAGTAAACCATGAATACTATAATAGGTAGTACTAAATTTAAAGAAAAACGTTTTGCAGACGATTTTTTACTATCCGTTTTTCATTTTCGCTTCCAAAATTTCCCAATATCAAATATCTGCAGGTTAGATATTCTTTTAATTTAATATTGTACCCTCGATTATATATCTAAAATATTTTCCAATAGTACGGCCGAACCACCCCCGAGAGATCTACTTATAACGTTCCCTGATTTCGCCATTTTAAAGAAATCCTCATAAGATTTTTTTATTCAGTACTCAGAAAGTGTAAAGTTGATTTTTTCATTTCCTCGGAATAATACCTAGGTATATACTATAGGGAAATTAATACAACTTTAGGTGCACTTCATCAGTGATACCATGCGTAATCTTATGGAATTTACTGGTGATCGTATTATGACGTGCAACTGAAGTTTTATTAATTTCCTTTCCTATAGATACGAGTATAACTAGGTACCTATCATTTCAAAAAAAAAAAAATCCTGAGAAAAATTAATTTTAATAAGTAAGTGCCGACATATTTCCAGTATTTTTACCTCGATCCCCTATTAGTCCTAAAATTTAACTAAAAAAACGTAAATCTCGTAATAGTACTTTTTATTGTTAGATCTAGTACTTATAGAGACATTAGACATTTATAAAAATCACCAGAAAATTCATAGCGGAACTGCGAAACCGAGGTGGCAACGCTGGTTCAGACTGAAAGAGTTACCGAGTTCATACCAAGGTATTCCAAGGAAGACCTTGAATGATTGACCTTGACCTTGAAGACCAGGAATTCCAAGGAATTCCGAAGGAATTACGAGGAATTCTGAGGAATTATTTGAGTAAAAGGAATTACGGTGTACACTTTTCCCTCTGCGGTTTACCCCTCGCAAAGTATTAAACATTTTTATAAAAAAAAACAGTAACATCATATTAGTAAATAAATACTTTTTAATTAGTAAATAAACCTATAACTTGAAAAATTAGTTTTACTTTGGCATATCAGTTTAAGATATAAAATCAGGTATATCAATAAGATATTATATCATAATCAGGTATACCAAACACCTCTTTTATTTATTTTTTAGTTTTTGTAACAATATCCATTTTAATATAGTCCAAAATATCTTTAGAACTCTAATATTTCGCATTTTTAAAATCACGGGTATTTTTCAGGAAGCCTATTTTAATATGGCTTACATGTTTAATGGCCTAAATTCTGTCGCTCTGACATCCAGTTCTCGTTATCCATTTTTAATTGATAACTTGAGGTAGAGTTAATGATAAAAGTGGGTGACGGAAATTGGGCACATCAGATAGCCCATCTTCATACTACCATTTATAGAAAAAAAAAATATTGAATTACAAATGAATTTTATACTGAATAAAATATATCTGCCTATAATGTCCCAATCTTCGTCGGTGACGATAATACGGCACGTTCCGTTGCGACGTGTCCCAAAAACCGTTATCCATTTTTTTTATTAATATTATAAAAAAAATATATAATATATA